CTATGCACAATAAATAAAATATTATTTTAAAATAAATTAAAAAAATAAAAGAAAAAAAAATGGGTCCCTTACCAGCAGGCAGAATCAGCAGCACTCTGATGCGATGGATCTGACTCCAATGCGATGGATGGATGCAACAGGGAGTAGTCAGGCAGAGAGGCAGCAGGACAGGTAAGACACTGGACTGGAGGGACAAGGCCAGGGTTATCACTAAGCAGGTCACTTGGCAGGCTTAGCCAGCCAGGCGAGGCTGGTGAGGGGGGGGGCAGGGGGCTTTCAGCCGCGTGGCATATGCCAGCCTGTGGCTTTCACAAACTGGTATAAGCTAGCCTCCCGAGTCCCGCCGCCCCCCCCACACTTAGTTTCTTACCTGAGGGAAGCAGCAAGCTCCTGGAAGGTGAAGGCAGTTTTGAAATGGAGGACCCGGTCAGCAAGCACGATGCGAGGCATCTCGGGAACGAAAACTCTTTTGAAAAGAAAAGTCTCCAAAAGAGAAAAACTCTTTTCAAAAGAGGAATGTTGGCTGTTGGCGCCACACTTTTAAACGGGTCGCCTCCAGCCCGCTCACTGATTGGCTAGACTCCAGCCAATCAGTGAGCGGCAGGCTGGGCTAGCCTAGTTTACTGTGGATGGGTGGGGGAGCAAGCAAGCAAGCTGCAACGGGACGGCAAGGGCAACCGAGCAACAGGGCCAGTGCCAGCGTTCCTGGAAGTTACTTCCGGGTCCACCAGTCCTCACCAGCTCGCTGAATTTCACCAACCGGTTTGCCCGAACCGGTGCAGACTGGTAGAAACCCACCACTGCTTCATACACAGGATTGAATGCAAATAATATTTATATTCATAGCTTTGTTTGTATAATTTGAGGCTACATTTTAATAGAAGTAGCATCAAGGGGAAAAGTGTGTGTTATATACACCCACACCACATCACATTTGATTCACAGTTCTTGTTCTGGTACAGGAACTACTTTTTAAAAAGTAACATTCTTCTAACACTATAGGTTTTTTAGATTTAAGAATCTCTAAATGTTATATTTTTCATTCTTGAGATTCAAAGGTGAAATGAAATAATTTCCTGGTGTCTCACCCATTATTCATGCAAAAATAAAATAGATATTGCTGTAGACATTTTTAGTTTTATTTGATATTTAGTTATTTTTTCTCTTTTTGTACACATTTTTTGTTATTGTTACTGTTAGATATATGTATTTGTTTCTTTTGATTTGCATTTTATTCTTGTTGATAAAATATTATACACACACACACACACACACACACACACATATATACAATGCAAGCCTTTGAGCAGGCCTTTTTATAGTCATATGTAGAGGATTACCTAAAACTTTTTTTAAAAAACCACTTGAAGAGGTAGAAATGTTACCACAATTAACATAACCTTTCTTATTATTTCATCTTCGCTTGGAATTAATTTGTTTTTCCATTTCTAGGCAAAGGCAATCCTTGCTGCCATAATTATATGTAGTATTAAATACTGGATTTTTTTTTTGTATTTCACAGACATTATTCCTAATAAAAAAATTTCAGGTTTCCATTCTATTTTAACCCCTGTTATTGCCTCCAGCCAATTTTTGATCCTTTTCCAAAAATTTTAGCCTCCTCACAGGTCCACCATAAATGGTAATATGTTCCGTGTATTGATTAGCATTTCCAACATTTTGGGGAGGTATTTGTTAAGATTTTAGCTAACCTTGTTGGTGCCAGGTGCTATTGGTGTTCTCTTATACCTGCCTTGGAGGAGTGCCGAAGGAAGAATGTTAAATCTGGCTCTGAAGAAAGNTTCCCTATAGGAAGGCCATTCATCGTCCACCTGTGGCCTTCCTCCCAAGTCTACCCTTAACTGTTTCCTTCATCTGGCAATTCTGTGCATGCGCACACTGGGAACAGGCTCCAACTGTTCTTCTGCCTCAATGATGTACGACTCCGAAGGCAGCTGATAACTGTTGGATGGCTCTGGCCCCCTCTCTGCCTCCGACACAGAGCCCTCCTCAGAGCCTTCCCCAGACTCCAGGACTGGCCCATCTTCCTCCCCAACCTCCTCACTGTCCGAATCAGAGCTGGCCACTGGGGGGGGGGGGGGTCACAACACAGCGATAGATCAAGATTCCAGCAACATGTTGGCTGTGGCACGTATGGAGCTCAAGAACTAAGCTAGCCTCTTTTTGTTTCCTTTCTTACCTGTTTGAAGACTTCTTCATCTTGGTGAGTCGTCCTCACCAATTCCTGTATGAAACCGAAGGGGAGATTCCTACACAGCATATACGGGACTAACAACGACTGCTGTTGGTTTGACCTGGGTGAGAGAGAGAATGGCAAAAAGCTTCATAAAGTCGCCCCCGCGTGCCTGAGAGAACGCTGAAGCCAAGAGGTTGGAAGGGGAGGTCAAGCAAGGATCACTAAGTGGCCTCCTGTCCCACTGACCTCAGCTGCGTTAGAGATCCTTGGAGCACCAAAGCCGCGTGAGAAATGCACTGGGATCGGATGTTGCTCAGAAGCTGGCTCACCACCGGCTGGCTGCACATCTAAGGAGAGGCAGAAACAGGGCGAGGCAGCCCATCTTTCACCCTTTAGAGCAGTGTTTCTCCACCTTGGCAACTTTCAGACAGGTGGACTACAACTCCCAGGAGACGAAGGGAAGAGGGAGAGGGGAGGGAGGGAAAGGGAGACAGGGAGAGAAGAGAGGTAGAGACAGAGGGAAGGGGGAGACAGGGAGGGGAGACGGGGAGGGAAAGGGGAGACAAGGAGGAGGAGAGGGGGGAGGGGGAAGAGGTAGACAGGGAGGGGAGTGACAGGGAGAGAGGGAGGGAAAGGGGAGACAGGGAGGAGAGGGGGGAAAGACAGAGGGAAGGAAAGGGGAGATGGGGGAGAGGGAGAAGGAGAAAGGGAGAGGGAGAAACAGGAAGGGGAGAGGGGGAGAAGGAAACATGGAGGGGAGAGACAGAGGGAGGGAAAGGGAGAGGGGGAGACAGGGAGAAGGGAGGGAGAGAGAGGGGGGAGGGAGAGAAGGAACAGGGAGACAGGGAGGAGAGGTGGGGGAAGACAGGGAGGAAAAGGGAAGGGGAGATGGGGAGAGAGGGAGGAGAGAGGGGGAAACAGGAAGGGGAGAGGGAAACAGGGAGGGGAGAGACGGAGGGAAAGGGAAGGGGAGACGGGGAGAGAGAGGGAAAGAGAGAGGGAGAGATGGAGAGGGGGAGGAAGAAGGGGGGGGGTATCTCAACCTCAGCATCTTTAAGATGTATGGACTTCAACTCCCACAATTCTGGGAGGTGGAAGTCCGCACATCTCAAAAGTTGCGAAGATTGAAAAACACGGACACTAAAAATGTTGAGTTACATATAAAGACCACATTTCACTTAACACACAAGAGCCCATTTTGAAGGAAAGGAAAAGAACCTAAAGTGAATCAATTAGAGGGCCGGGGGGCGGGGGGGGGCTCGCAATGAAACGACAAGACAAAAATGGGGGGGGGAAGGGAAGATTACCTTTGGCGCTTTCCTTTCCTCAATCCCCACTCGGTCGAAGCACTCAATGAGGTAGTTTAGCATCTCCGTCTCCTTGCACGTCTCAATGGCGAAATGGTCGCTGCACGAGTCGGAAATGCTGGCCCCCCCAGAGCCTCCGCCACTGGCAAACAAAACAGGGCAAGAGGCGCCAGTGAGTCCAAAAGGCTAGAGTGGCCTCCAGAAGCCAGCAAGAAGGGAGGGAAGGGCCATGGATTTTGGGGGGCGTGGGCTGCTGGACGGAAACACAGCCTAGGGCAAGGGTCATCCCTGGATTGCACACACATAGCACTCCCTGCCCGCGAATTGCCAATAAACCTAGCCAGTCCCACCTTGGCTGTTACAGCCTGTTCTCCTTAGCCAACCGGTCTAGCTGGTGACCCATCATCCCTCAATAGGCATCCTTACATTCAGTAGGCCCATCCACCCAGCCCCCAGGGTTCCTGGGGAGTAGCGGGGGGCACCTGGGAGGAGGCTCTGAGAAAACAGCTTGCTCTTAGGAGTCCTACGTTTTGAGCAAACTCTCCCTTCCAACGGAACGAACTCTCTTCTCCCCAAGAGGAGGAGGACTATGGGGAGGGGGGATTCATTCCATGTCAAGTGTCCTGATTTCATGAAAATGCCCTGCTCGATCATCACGGAGTTCGATGAAATTGGGCGTCAACATGCACACACGTCCCCGATGAACAGCGGTAAAGTGTGACCTTTCTCCTACCGTCTCTTCCAGAGGTATAAAAAGCCAAACTTTAACCTTTTTCCCCCCGACCTACGGACATTTTGCTCCAGATTATCTAGATGGAGATCAACTCACAGGAAGGCTTTTTGTTTAATGAGAGCACAACACGTTGTACAAGATGCCCAAGTTTTGTTTCTCTCAACAAAACACTGCTGGGGATATTAGGTCTCAAAGTTGGTGACACCTCAGTGTCGCACGATCAAAGGCTGCGGTATGGGGTCAAATAAATGACTCTCTCTCTCTGCAAGCCAGCTGTGTGCAGCAGCTGCCAAAAAAGCCAACCCAGTTCTAGGCTGCATCAACAGAGGGATAGAATCAAGATTGCGTGAAGTCTTCATACCACTTTATAAGGCCTTGGTGAGGCCACACCTGGAATACGGTATCCAGTTTTGGTTACCACGATGTAGAAAAGATGTGGAGACTCTAGAAAGAGTGCAGAGAAGAGCAACAAAGAGGATTAGGTGACTGTAGGCTAAAACATATGAAGAACAGATGCAGGAACTGGGTACGTCTAGTTTAATGAAAAGAAGGAGTAGGGGAGACATGAGAACAGTCATCCAATATCTCAGGGGTTGCCACAAAGAGGGAGTCAAGCTATTCTCCAAAGCATCTGAGGGCAGGAAAAGAAGCAATGTGTGGAAACTAATCAAGGAGAAAAGCAACTTAGAACTAAGGAGAAATTTCCTGACAGTGA